AAAATTTTAAAAATCTGATGAATTTTCAGAGCTGATACAGACATTTTCGCAATTGAAACTTCAATAGGTTTCCTAATGGGAAATACCGTGATGTTGGAAAATGCTGACTTTCTAGGAACATGCAATGAAACAAGTTTGTACAGTACTTTCCCTTAATTCCAGAAATGGGAATATGATATTCAAAAACGGAAGAGAAAAGCCGTGTGAAGATAATTATCCTGGGATTGCGTAAATTCAAGGCATTTTTATTAATTACAGCTCAGTCCTCACCGATTAATAATTTAATTCAGCGGTGTCCATGTCTCAATTTGGCGGCATTTTCATTTTCTTCAGGGACTCTAACGATATTTTTTATTCCATTTTCGGCACGCACTTCCACACGAACCTGGAGGCTTGTAATTTTACACCGCTGGAGGCGCAGGTTCTCAATTCGCATGAGCCAAATGTACTCAATTATTTTTAAGGCTGTCGGAATGGATGACGTTGCTTGGGGTTCTTAGGTGCCCTGAGGGGTTACAAAGCATGGCTTCATCATTCAAAGCTCCATCAAATTCTGAGGGCAATCAAAGCCGAGATTAATTCGGTTTAATGATTTGAGCTGTAGAGTCGAACTCCAGAATCCTGAGGGAAGGTGGATTGGTTCAAGGCCGTTTTTACTCAATCGTGACCATTCGGAGATAATTTGTCTCTTTGGACGACAGAAAATTTCAAAAGCATGGGCCAGACTCAGTATTTTACTGGAAAGTCAGGTGTTCATTGGGATAATCCTGGAACTTTAGGATGATGATCTTCTTTTGAATCTTACGGAGCCTAAATTTCCTAGAACATCGATCAAAGTTTTTCTTTTCAAACAATCTCCTGATCAAGCTGAATAAAAGAAATGTATTAAATCTTCTTTCACTGAATTTTTTAAATGACACATCACTTTTAGGTGTAATAAAGATCAAAAAAATTATTCATAAGATGAAACGAAAATGACACAGCATGATTTGGTGAAAATTTCTCGGAGTAATGAATTCTGTTATTGAAAACATGTATAGCTGTACGGTTTTGAAAGTAAGAAATTGGAAAATTAAATTTTCTTGCGAATGTCACATGAAATTTTCCTCCAAACGGCAATTTTCTCATGTCAAGGCATGAAGGCAGAACAAATTTAAATTGTGTTCTTTTTGAAAGTATAATTGAATTTTTTTTTGATTTTTTCGATTTTCAAAAAAAGAGGGTCTGTCACTTTAATTACAAACAAATTGAAATTGTGAAAAAAATAAAAAAACTCTAGGCGGGTTCTTTGTGATAGTAATTGTAATTTTAAAAACATTTTGTTGGATTCAAAAAAAAACATGCAACTGTGAATACTTTCTCATTTTTCGCAGTCAAGATTTTTTCGACTCAACGTGCATGATTTAAAACAAATCTTAGGTGCTTGAAAGTAATTTCATTTCCTAGTTGAGGAATTTTACTTGACACTAGGGCGGTCACGGGTTTTCTGGTGCGGAACCGATGCTTAAGAGCACAGACAATCAGCCGCCTTCAGGAGTTGCATGGCAAGAAAAACGTTGGCAGGGAGAGAAAACAAAACAAAAAAAGCAAACGAGAAATTTGCATCCGTCAGCGAATTTTAGCTGATGAAGGAAAGATTGCTTTTGTGGCACTCAATTGCGTGCGAATTGCAGCCGAGGTCGTATTTTCTGGCGCTGATAACCCACGGAAAAGAAAAAGGGCCTCGGGAATCATTCTCCGTTCATCGGCTTCATTTATTCCTCGCGTGATCGAAGGCTACTGGAAATTACTTCTTTGATTAAAGAGAGATGCAATTGTCTTTCGAAAAGCGTTCGCATTTTTGTTTTTTTTTTCTGAGTAAGGAAAATTCACAGAGAACACCACAACATTTCGGCAGAGGCTCATTTTTTACGAACCCTGAGTCGAAACTTTTGGCACTCTACAAAACATGGGATTACATTATTTTGACTGAGCTCGGTATTAGACCAGAGAAGTGTACCCGTTATTAACAAAATAACTCTCGAGACAATAAAACCTCAATCGAAAAATGTTATGCATGTTTCTGTGAAAACCGTGCGAAATTTCCACGATAGGAAACTATTATGGTTTGGAGATATACACCGCAGAAATATACGCAATATTTTGTTGTAATATTTTTTGTGTATCTTCGAACCGCGAAAAACCAGTAAAATTCTGCTCAAATTTTGAGTAATGCGGGAACACAATTAGCGTTGAAGTATGTTCATAGGTTACCGAAAAAATGTTTATTTCAAACCGAAGCTGAGGTCAAACAATCTTTTTGCGTAAAACATGCAGAAAAATGTTCGATAATCAGGCCAGGTTGGAAAATTAATCCATCAAAGCTAAAAATGCGTTTAAAATAGTGAATCTTTCTTTGTGGGTGAAAATAACAGCCCAAGTCACCAGATCCATTTATTTCTTTTGTCCTTGATTCATGCTGCGAATCAAGTCAATAAAATATTTTTGAAACCTCTCTATGCGTTTAAAATAGTGAATCTTTCTTTGTGGGTGAAAATAACAGCCCAAGTCACCAGATCCATTTATTTCTTTTGTCCTTGATTCATGCTGCGAATCAAGTCAATAAAATATTTTTGAAACCTCTCAATCGATGAGAATATAACGATTCTGCGAATGTCAAGTTAAAATTCAATTAATTGTAGTTTGAAGGACTGAAGATTTGCTGTGGAATTAAAGACATTGACATATGAACTCGCTTCATATTTTTTTCCAGTCGATAAACATCCTTCTATTGTTTAGAATTTTTAATTTAGGATTTGGAATTGCGCGCAATTTTATGGAATTGCGGAATAATAAAATGCACTATTTAAAGAAAACTTGCGTCCTGGAAATTGCCTTTTTGTTATACTGTAGTCGGGAATTATGCGTGAAAACCAAGGAATTTCTTGCTCAATTGACTCTGGCACATTAATTATACGTTTCAATCCGGGGTAAGGTGTCGGCTAACAGTTCTCATGACCTCGGACTTGCGAAATTCTTCCACTCGCTGCTTTTCCTCCTGCTGTCCGACGAGGATTTCACGATAAAATATTGCATAAAAGGAAGATTGCCGCTGTTTTCTTTCATCGCTGAGGAATTACGCGGAAAAAATTGGTGGTCCGGAACAATTGTTGTATAACCGAAGTAAGATTCCTTTCTTTCGGCGGGGGAATTCCTGTGCAATTATGCGAAACGGTTTCGTATCTTTACCTTTTTCCATAGCTGAGTCATTTCCTTGGTTGTGTTGCATGATGATTTAATTAATCCGGAGTAAGTTCCGGTGTTGATTGCTTGTCGATGCAATCGAAATTGCCTGCTCAAGTTTTCTAAACTTATTGCAGCTTGGATTAATATGGGTTTTATGTCCCTTGTTGGCCATGAATAACTGGCTAATAAAAATTCGTGAATCCTGGGTATATTCTCTATAAAAACAATTTATTGCCGCACAGGTGATCCTTCAATTACAGTAATTTAAAAATTATTTTCATAAAATAAATACAGCACTGTACAATATTATGCGTCCAGGTGTTGATAATTTTGGTGCTGTCATTCTAAAAAACAAGTCTGCGCTTATTCTTTGGCACGTCACGCACCTGCGAATTGGCAAGTTTAATTTACTCTTCTTTCAAAACCTTCCAACTTTTGTAAAAAGTTTCTCTGGAGAGAAACTTGAATCAGAGTAAATACTTTCCTCTTCCCCATTTTCTTTCAAGTTTTGGGGATAAAATTTGTAGAAATGCTCAGAGTTGTTGCGCGGGGAATTATAATCCAAACAAAATTTTATAAAAAAAAAAGTGGTACTGTACATACGATTAGCTGGGATTCACAAAGGAGTTCATACCTTGTAGGGTGCAGCAACAACAACTGGGTCGCGGGTCTCATTTGGATACAGGCTTTTTGAAAAAGTTCACACGCAAAAGTCATGGTGAGAATTTCACTATTACAGTATAAGGGGCATGGTACTTGAGAATAAATATGACACTTCATCATCAAAGACCTTTTCCAAGAATAGAATTAACATTTTCAAAGAATAACATTTTCTGTTTCAATTTCCATTTTTTTTTTTTTCATGAAAGTGCATGTTTTATTTACTTTTTTGTACTATTTTTTTTGAAATGAGCTCTGTCAGAGAGGAAAACGTATTCAGATTTAATTCAGATTTTGTTTTTGCTGCGCATTAGCAGAATTTAATTTTGATTTATGCATAATTATTCAATAAGAGACCCATCCCACTTGACCGCGTTTATTGCCAATTTTCCCACAAATTGAATTCGTGCTGGTGAGCTCATGGTCATCAGATTATGGTCATCAGATTGGTATTGAAAGTCATTTGATGTTGTTGCTTTTGTAAACCTCGAAATAATTTTTAAAACTCGGCAAATGCCTTCTCGTTTTCTTATTCAGAGCTGCTATAATGACGAAAATGCTTCAAGGTTGACACTTTTTCATTTTTTTTTAGGCGTATTCAGGGTCTTGTTCTTTTGGTGAATATTGGATCTGTCTATATTTGAGCCCTTTTCTGTGCTGAACTTATCGATTCCTTTTCGTAGCTTTTTTGATAGCTAAAAAATGAATTGCACAATTATTCCGCTTTGGCCCTTGTTTGTTTTGGATTGAAGAAATATCTGCATTGAAAAACCTCCTTTTTCCTTGAATGTCAAAGTGGTCTTGAATAAGTTGAATCATTTGTGGGAATATTAAAAAAGCAGTATCTATCCATTTCACGATTTATTGATGGAATTCTCAAGCATGAAATAGTCGTTCGAATTTTTAAAACTGTAATGCGATCACAGCAAATCCAGGATGAACCGAGGAATTCAAAAATAAAATTGTTCCATTTCTTCGGGTCGTTCGGAGAAAAGACATATTCCTTGGATGCTGAGAAGAAAAAAAACTGATAGAAACAATTGTGAAACTTGGGGTATTTATTTTTATTTTTTCGAATGAAATCGGGAAGAAAAGTTCGGAGATCGTGACCCGACTTGTGCTGTGCCTGTTTCGTATCTTAGCCGTAATGGCGCAACACCGGCCCCAACATTTCGCAACGTTGACAGAATCCATCTCATCTTTTGTTCCAATAAAGTCTGGAAAACCTCTTTGTGACTCAACTGCTTGAAGCTGAATAAATAAATATGAAAAAAAAAATAGGGCAGGAAGGAAATTGAATGAAGCGAGAAAGCCTTTTCATGTCAAGTTCGCGCCTTCGTCCATATTCCAGGAGTTCGAAAATAAAATATAACAGCTACTCGCTCGAAACATTTTTTACCTTGACCAAATCACCTAGTTCTTTACAAGACATTTCAACTTTGACAGTATATAGGAGAATAATTCAGAATTCCTTTTTTTCAATTGGGAAAAATTAGTCGCAATGATTCTCACCTTCATTTGTTGTTTGTTGGGCGGAAGCCGTGACAAGCAGGACGCCGATAATAACGCTGACAAGGTTTGCGTCTGACCACTTCATAGTTCTTCTCACAGCTTCTCTTTCTCCGCGCGTTTTTTTCTTTTCTTTTTGGTATATAATTTTTTTCCTTTTCCCAATTCAGTTTACGGTTCTTTCACACCAATTTCCTCCGCATTGAAGCGTTGCCAATGTCACGAAAAATCGCGCCGTGGACCGCAAGCATTTCTGAGCACTTCCGCATTTTCTGAAAAAAAAAAAAACGGATTAATTGAGGGAGCTGATTTATTGAATTACGATTTTGATTCATGGGTTCGTTTCCTGTGCATGAACTTTTATGAAGAATCAGAAAACTTTAAAAATATATCGTTTTCTTCTGAATAGTAAAAGATTCCTCAGCAGTTTACGGTTTTAAAACCCGTACCGAAGTGCCTCAAACTTGAAAAAAGGCGCATTTTGGTTGCATATAAACTGAGTTTAGATTCGAAACACGGTTATAGCGTTTACTTTATTGCCAAAACAACGGTCTTTTGGTTGAATTATTTGTTTTTGGAAACGTCCGTATTTTGAGTAGAGTATTTAGTGTAATATTATAGCTTGAAGGATTCTGCTCCTTTGAATTAAAAATATAATATGAAATTGTGTTTGAAATATCTTTAAAGTTTCCTTTCCTATTTGAAAAATATAAATTTTTCCAAAAATTTCATCATACTATAGATTGAAAGCTGGGGTTTGATTTCACCAATTTGAATCAATCGCTTCTTAATTGGAAGCATTATTTTTTTGGAATCTCGCCCCAATTTTTATTTGACCAACTCCTCATCGAAATCCAAAACTTTTTATTTTCGAATTCTTGAGAGGAATTTATGTGGTCCACGAACTGATTCGTATTCGTTGTCACATAGTGAAAAATGTCTGGGTATACTTTGCAAATACACTCATGTCTTATTTCATTTGCATTCTCAAATTTATACAGGCAGTTCCTTTCTCATTCAAAAAACGGAAAAGTTTTTGTAAAAAAAAAAAAGAATTCGTCCAAAAATATACTGTTCCAAGTGTTTCTCAATTCAGAGCAAATTTCCAGACGACAATGGAAAAGTTGGCGTTATTTTATCAAGTACCTTCAACGTATAAATAGAGTGCAGACGTGTTCAGGTGAATCCATTGTTTGGGTCATTCACTGCCCAGGACAAAGATTTCATGCACATAATTCGAATTTAAAATCCGTAAAAGTCGTTTTATTTTTGTGAAATGCGAGACTATAACTATTGCCTCAGGAAATGTACAAAAGAATTTCGAGGAGAGAAAATTGATGGAAAAAAATGTTTTCCATCCTGTAACGATACGCCAGAAATATGCGGGATTCGGAAGCGGAAATTCCACACTTCCGCTTTGTCGACCCGAGATTGACATCAATTCCACAGATTAAATTAATTTCATTTGAGCCGGGTAATTTGGGACAATCTTTGTCTGAATGTCACGTGTTTTAATTTTTATTTTTCAAATTCATTTTTAAAAATACCGTGTACTTTGTTCATTCCATTGTCGAGCCTGTGGAAGTGGCGCAACAGCGTTTGTTTTCACTCGTCTGTGACGAAGACCTTGTATTCCGGAAAAAAAAGCAGCCGCTTTCTTCCATAATTCGACAAAAAGTTTTTTCAAAGTTTTTATTAAATGTTTGTGGGTTTTCTCGAGTACTCGAAGAGGGCGGGCGTTTCCATAATCCTGGGACTTTTTTTGAAAGAAAGAGAGAAACAGAAGATGCCACGAACTGTGACGACTTATTGTGAGTTCGAAGGGGTTATTGCGCCCACAACTTTCGAAAATTTGTCAAGCCTTGGAATTTCCGACGCATTCAATTCTGAATCACTCATTTGAATATTTCCAATACTATGATCACAAGCACTTGTTCAAATATTTCTCATAATCTCACTGATTACAACAACTATAACGCTGGTACGTCGAAGAATATTCTTTTTGCATTCCCTGTTGAATGAATCACATGCTACGATTTTAAAAGATTTACACGAATACATTTTGGGAAAATAAAACGAAAATTACGTTGAATTGAAAATTATTCCAATTTTTTACTGATGCCTTATTGATGATTCAATGTCATTAGAATAGACTAAAAAAGCAATTCAAGAAACCAAGAAAATGTTTTGAAATTTACTTTCAGGAAACTCTCGAGTATATGAAAACATTACGCGTGTCATTCTGCAGCGCGTGTAACGGTATATTGGCATTATTTGTGAAAGTCGCTCAAATTAAGAAAAGCAAATTAAAAGCTTCTTGTTGCTTTTATTTATGTTTTTTTGTAAAGCTCGTCGAAAAAAATATCACTTAAAGCACAGTGTTGAATATCATTGAAAGTATCAGCAAATTGAAAACCTACGTTTCGATCTGCTTAAAATTCAATTGATTTGAATTTCAAGAAATTCCTCGGCTGAAAAATCCTAACATTGACATACAAAATTCGGTTTTCCTTTATAAAACAGAGCGGATATGTGAGACAATTGATTCTTTAAAATCGATTCATAGAACTGCGGAAAAATGGTGATTCCCGCGGAAAAAAAAGTATTTCTATAATCCCTAGAGAGAATACAAATTTTAAAAAATCGTTCTGAGATCTTTATTGCAATTGATTTAGCAGAAAACCCGATCTACTAATCAAAACGACGCTTTCAAAATAACATATAAGTTGCATAAATATCGAGACTGTAGTTATGAAAAACGTATATATTCTCGAGGAACGTAATTGATTATACAAATATTTTGAGATTTTCTGCTGAACTTTTTTCGAAATTCTAATACTATACACACTCAGCTTCAGATTTCGCGGTTCTTCTTTGAAACCTTCAGCGCTGACAAGCCAAGGTGATTAAATAACATGTTTTCACGGAAAGAAATACTGTATCTCACCAAGAATAAGAAAATAATACCCTCGGTTGTTCTTAACGAAGGTCATATTTCGCGAGTAGCATGAAAAATTGCGGTTTCCAAAATTACGTTTTTAATATTAGGGGAATTAAACAGACGATTCCTCAAGAATATAAAATAAAAGTGCGTTTCATTTCGAGTACTGTACAGTAATTTCACTCGGCCAAGAAATGCATCAATTTTCTGACGTATATAGACAAACTTTTATTCTAGAAGTATAATCATAGGAAATGGTTTCCCGATTACTCACAGTCGGGTCAAAGCCTCGTCAATATAAATTTTTTATTTATCGCGTAAACAAGGTTTAAAAAAAAAACTCGATTGCATATACGGTAGATTTTGTCCCTTGCACAGCCTAGAGAATTTCCTTCAAAATTCAAGAGCATCCAAGATACATTCCACATCTTTCTTGGCACACGATAAGGTCTCAATTTTTCGAGTAAGCGCATGCAAATCTCAAATACTGCATGAGTTCCCACACCGATGTCGAAAAAGCATGGAGAAAAGTTTGGAATAGAGACAAACAAATATTCGATTCCCTTTCACGTATAAATACAGTACTGTATATCTATAGTTTACTTATGCTTATTCACAACTTCCCTGAAATTTGTTGCACTGAACTGCACCGTTCAACAGCCTTGTTGTACATACATACATAATCAAAAAAATATTTTTGAAAAATATTTCGAGCACTTTTCTCACGTACAGACACATTTCCGCTGAAATTAGTTGCACTGAAATACACCGTTTAACCGCAATTTTAGTATGCATGCACATAAATACTTTTGAAAAACCTAGCGGGAGGATCGAAAAAAAGAAGAAAATTCTTTCGTTTTTCTCCACGAAAATTTGTTGCACTGAAGTGACTGAACTGCACCGTTTCAACAGCACTTTTCGTATGATTTATATGCATATAATTGCGAATATAATTTTTAAAATACAGTATATGCAATTTTTCTAAGCAGCAATGCGCCCGAGAGCACGGTGCGAATGGAAATGCAGAGAAAAACTCCAGCACTGCACTCTGAAGAACCCAAGCAGTGCTGTTTTTCTAAACGCGCGCGCTGAGGAGGATTTGACCTGACGATGTCTTCATTTTTTCCCCCCTATATCCTCTTTCTGTATATACCATTACAGCCCCCCTTTCCTCGCTCACTTTCTTCTCCTTCCTCTTCAACGTTTCCTTCATGAGGTTCCGTGTGTTTTATTTTCTTTTCTTGGAGCGGCAATTACATGGAAAGTGAAGAGGGGGGTGAGCAAATGGTGTTGCGCAGATTTGGCGAAAAGGGTGCTTGGGTATTCAGTCGGTCGGTGATGACGGAGGACATTTCGTCACTTACTGCTGGGAAATTGTGAAAGCACTTCTGGTAGGGTTCCATTTTCGTCGTCGTGGATCTGTGACACCTTCTAAAAACCTCTCGTTAATATAACTGCCTTCCTCGTTATGATTTGTTTAGAAGGTAGAAGGTATTTTTCCTATGAAGATAAATGACGCGTTAAAGGCATGTCGAAATGTATCATCAGAAGTTACTGAGTTGAAAAAAAAAGTGTGTATCGTCTTCATCAGCTGTGATCTATCACAGTTTTTGTTATCTGAAATGTCCTGATTTAATGTGCGAAATTACGCGGTAAAAAGTGTTTTGTAATCTATATTGAGAAGTCGTTCAGCTAAAAAAAAAAAAAAGTGTCATCAAAACTTGTTGAGTTAAAAATAAGTGTGTCTCTTCAGCTGAGTTTTCATCACGATGAAATATCTCGATTTCATACTTGAAATTCAGCGTTCGCAAGTGAGAATTTTCAATTTTTATTATATTTTGAGAACAATTTTCCCTTGTAAGTTCAGGCAGTTTATCCTATTTTATCAATTTCATGTCAGTTTTCACCGCGTAAAATTAGGGAGAATATNTATAAATCAATTTTGTCGTCTCAAAATTTTGGTACTGCTTGTCCAAAGTGGCACTTATTGCCAATTTCCCAAATCCGACCACATTATTTTGGAAGGTTAGCTTTTGGAAAATAGTATTTGAGAAATGAAAACCAAAAATTTTTTAAAATCTTTAATGAAGTATATTGTGTACTTTTCAAGATACTGTAAATGCCTCTTGAATTTGTTTTGGCAGTATATTTTTATTTCCGTGCTAAGAGTGTTAAAAAAAGTGCTGCATTTATGCTTTAATGGAGACTGTCAGTTGGTAGAATGAATAAATTTTAGCTCCTGTGATTTAACCGAGACCAGATGTTTTTATGCCGTAAAAAGTTCAATCTCTTAGCATTTGGATGATTTTCCAATTTTCTAATTTGATCTCTAAAGTTAAAATGGGGTTTTGCAGAAACACCGTCCTCTTTTCAAGCACTGCTCTGAATTTCAGCTTCTACATGGAAAACAACTCAGTATATGGATTATGTTCTTCATATGAAATTGGTAATTCGTACATAATTTTTTGAGATTGGCTACTATCTTAGTAGAATGGATATTATTTGGTTGCATATATCCTTTGAAGCCTGCTTGCTTATTATAGAGGCCAATGCCAATTATATTTACGACATATTTATCGGAGCATATTTTATACATTAGTTCAGTGAAATTATTCTTGTCTACATCATCTGGGCCTGAATGCCTGGAGGATTTTTTCAAGCACATGAAATTCTTTGTAAAATGGGCTTATTCAACGGACTATAAACATATTTCTTGTATGTGTAACACTACTGTAGATAATACGCCTTCTTTGTGCATTAATTGAAGATCTGCGAGCACAGAAAAAAATATTCGTTCAAGGAATCGCATGCGAAGAAATTGACATGACTTTTAAATTATTTACTTGATTTTTTAACGCCGAAAAATATAATAAGCGTATTTTTGAAAGCTGGAAAAACTCTGGGCTTTGAGATGTGATAACAATATTGGTGAGTTTTTTTTTTTTCATCACTCGGAGAGTTTGTGGAAATACCAGTTTCACAAGAATCACATGAGTTTTTCTTCTTGAACTTTTACGAATGTTCCAGCAATGTTGAGAAGCAGCTTTTCTTGTTTGTGGGTACCTTGACGGTGCTCTGCGAAACCGCGACCTCGGACCAGCAAGTTTCCATTATAACCCATAACTTGAACCGTAACGCTTTTCCGTGTGGTTTTCTTTTTTTTTATTATTATTTTTTTTTACATCGTCCCGAACCCGAGACCTTCGATTCAGTTAACAAATTAATTAGGAAAAAATATTTTTTTCAAGCTTCAGAAGGCTTGATTAGAATATAGACCAATTAATTGCTTCATACTTTAATGAATTAGTGAAGTGCTCGTGCCTTTCTCTGAATACTGTGAATAAATAGAAAAAAAATAGATCTCGATAACGGTCGGAAATTATGAGAGAAAAGGGGAGAAAGATCATTTTTCGATCAAATCCGTTAACTGCCGAATATAAATATTTTTTTTCCTCGAGCAAGGACGAATTCCCTGATCTTCCTAAAAATGCTTTGCATGATGGATTCTATTTTTTATTTTATTTTGCTGATCTGGTTGGTTCATAGCAGATGAGCATCAAGGACATGGTCATGTCGTCGTGTGGTGCTAAAATGTACCGTTCCTTCGTCAATTTGTTCAGAACTTTTTCTGCGCTTAATTAAATATTTGTCTGTGGAAAATCAAATTTCCACTCGAGATTTTTAAAAAACTTTCCAGGACCACGAAGAACTTCCATAGTTGATTTTATCTGGAACCTTCACTTAATTTTTAGAAGTTATACTGCACATTGACGATTTTTCTGTATAACATTCGTTTCCTATAGAATACTGTAAATATAAACACTCCAAAAATTGTTGAAAGTCGTGAACTTTTTTTTCTACTGAACAAGACTCGAAGTAATTTTTTTTTTATTCATGATCAAGTCCATTTACATTATCAGAAAGGATTTTTCGGTAATTTCAGCAAGGGCAGTTTTGCACAATTTCGAGGCGTTTATTTAAATTGGAAGAAATTATAGACTTCAGGAGCAACTGAAGTGAACCTTTTATCAAATCTTCTCAATTTTACGGGGGAGGAATGTGTTCAATGCCATTTTTGGAAGAGTAAACATTCCTATAAAAGTGTAAAGTTCAATGAAATTAATGAGTGGTACAGGATTATTCATTTTTATAGGCGAGAATAAGTCTGTCGTAATTTGCATGCATTTTGTCACGATATTAAGGCATTCATCTTAAACTCGAGTACTTCAGGAAGCCCAGAAATAAAATATATTTCCAGCTTTCGGCTCAACGATATCCGAAGAGAGTGTAATACTAGAACTTGAAGAAGTGTGGGAACATTCAGCAGCAAAGGTTTTATTTTTCCGCGTTACAAAAAATGTCGTAATTTTCACGCAGTTTTTCACTATGGTACGGTACATTTTTTAAAGACTCAAATACCTCACGTGCCCGGAAACGAAAGAAAAATGTTCTCAGCTTCTTGATCTCCCAGAGGAGAAAACTGTTCGACAATATCCCAGAAAAATGTAACATTCGTAAAAAAGTTGAAGAAGAATGGGGATATTCATCAGCAAACGGTTTCGTTTTTCCGCGTTTCAAAAAATATGTGGTAATTTTCACGCAGTTTTTCACAGCGTCGCATCATATTTTATTTGAAACTCAAATACTTCAGGAGCCCGGAAACGAAAAAAAATTATTTTTGCTCAACTTCTTGATCTTCCAAAGGAGAAAACTGCTCGATAATATCCCAGAAAAATGTAACATTCCCGTAAAAGTTGAAGAAGAAAGGGGACATTCATCAGCAAAAGGATTCGTTTTTCCGCGTTACAAAAAAAATATGTGGTAATTTTCACGCAGTTTTTCACAGCGTCTCGGCATTCATTTTAGACTTGAGCACCGTACTTCAGGAGCCCGGAAACAAAAAACTTATTCTCAGATTCTTGATCTTAAGGAGAAAAAAAATGTCCAAAAAGTAACCCAGGAAAGCGTATTTTTCCACATAGCAAAAAATGCAGTAATTTGCACATAATTTTTAATAGCGTAACGTATGTCGTTAATTTTTGAAGCAAGTACTTTAGGAGCCGGGGAACTCAAACTTTTTTCTCAGATTCTTCATTATTTTTCCACATAGCAAAAAATGCAGTAATTTGCACATAATTTTTAATAGCGTAACGTATGTCGTTAATTTTTGAAGCAAGTACTTTAGGAGCCGGGGAACTCAAACTTTTTTCTCAGATTCTTCATCAACCAGAGAAGAAAATGCTCAACGACATCACAGGTAATTGTGACATTCCTATAAAAGTTCAAAAAGTATCAGAACATTCGTGAGCAAAGGTTTTATTCAATCACATTCAGGACAAAAATTGATAATTCGCGCGCAGTTTTTAGTAGTTCTACGACATATTTTTTACTTTCATGTAAATTAGGAGCTCAAGAATTATACCTTTTCCTCAGCTTCTTGATTTGCCAGACGAAAAATGTCTTCAACGATATCCAAAAAAAGTGTGCAATTCCTATGGAATGGGAAAAAGCATATCGCAACATTGGTAAGCACAAGTTTGAAAAATATGTGGTAATTTGCGCGCTGTTTTTCACAGCTTCAAGGAATTCACCTCAAACTTGATTACTTTATGAGCCAGAGAAAAAAAA